AAGCAACTGTCAGCTTCTGCCTTTGTCAGGCCCCAGGGTCCTGGTTTGCACTTCATAAAACAGGGTGGGTGGTGGGGGAGGGAGCAAATACAGAAAGAAGTCCTCTGCCTGCAATGCAATGTTTTCTTCTGCACATAGCAACACTTCACGTCTCCATGAGAGTCTGGCAGAGACTGCCAGGCATGCCATAGGGCCCAAGGGAAGAGGTTCTGCCCGACCTACTACAATTCAGAAAAAAGGGGGCTAGAGGGCTGGGAAAGGCAGGGGCCAGGGTCCTGCTACTGAGCAGATGGAACACTACTTTTTGTATTTATGTTTTGTGAAAATGACACCCTAAACCTCTCTTCCTCGAGCATACCAGTACATCCCCCGACTTGCCATCAAGGGGTCTCTGCGGTCGAACCACACACTGACAAGTTGTTTAAGAGCTCTCATTTTACTGGAGCATACCTCATTTTGGCCCCACAAGCAAGGGATGACATGGTGTCCCCCCAAAAAGAGGTGTCGTTTCAGGGCACTCAGAATTGGTATACACAGAACTCTTCCCAGCTCCAAGAAGGTTAAGGCCAGGGTTGGTGGCCAAGGGAAGGCAACTTGACACGATTGCCCTCTAGTGGTAAGCATGAGGAACTGCCAAGACTCACCAAGAAGAAGAAGGTGAGGTTGCTTTTCAGCCCTGAGTGGTGCAGACCGGAGTCAGCAAACTACTGTTTGTGGGCCAAATCTGACCTGCAACCTGTTTGTATACAGCCTGAAAGCTTAGAATAGTTTTTACATATCGTCAATGGTTGAAAAAAGTCAAAGGAAGACTATTTTATGATGTGAAAATTATATGAAATTTACACTCAGTGTCCATAAATAAAGTTTTATTGCAACACAGCCACCCTCACTCATTTACATACTGTCTCTGGCTGCTTTTGTGCTACCACAGCAGAGCTGAGTAGTTGTGACAGAGACAGTATGGCCTACAAAGCTGAAAACAAAAAATACTTACTATCTGGCCCTTTATAGACAATTTTTCTTGACCCCCAGGTCTGGACTCTGAGCCAGGCAGAAGTGGAACTTTCTTACTCACTAGTCCTTAACATCCATGTTCTGTCACAGCCACAAGGAGGCTGCCTCCTTGCAGTTCCTTAAGGGATCTGACAGGAGCTCTGTCCTCAGCGAGGGGTGGAGGGAAAGAAGACATCACCTCTCACTTATGTACCCAAGCAGAGGGCAAAGAGGACGGCTCCATGGCACCTTTTCTTCTGACTAAAGACAATTTCTATCAGAGCCTAACAAATGATGCCAATGAGGAAGGTTCACAGCAACACATCAATGGCGCAGAAACAATGGGTGCTATTTGGTGCATGGGTGACGGGCGCCGCTGCTCCCTGAAGGAGCCTATTCTATAAGCTGTGAGAGCTGACCAAGCCCTCAAACCTTCTGTTTCAGCCCATCTCCTCACTGATAAAGATGCTAATGCCCAGAGAGGTAGTGGGGTGTCCAAGGTCACCCAACCACTCAATGGCAGAGAAGGACAAGTGCCCTATCTCTTGACTCTTGGCAGGTGTTCCTTCATTCGCCCTGTTGATCCCCAAAGCAGACCTTGCTCAATTTCATTAATTTTACGGACTGTTCTCAGTTCTAAAATTAGAGTGCGCCCATATTTTTGGAATTTAAAGGGCTTTTTAAAAAGAGAAGGATGATAATATATGATAATTAATTTTTTCAAAGGACCTTACTTGGCCAAAAAAAAAAATGGTGTCATGTCTCCATAGGACTATAACATTAACGAGAATTACTGGCCTGTGAACCCCAAAACCAGCTGCCACTAAATAAAAGCTGAGGCCCTTTGAGCAACTTGAGCGTGGTTCATTCATTTGGTGGTTTATTTGTTCATTTATTGACTCAACACATATTTATTGAGGGCTTATTATGAGTCTGGCCATATACAAAGGAATTAAAGTGCTTGTGCACCTATCTGCCAAGTACTTCGTTAACTGTTTTATATAAAGGATCTAATTTAATTTTCCTGGAAGGTAGGTGGCATTATTCCCATCTTACAGGCGAGGAGCTCAAGGCTCAGCCAGGTGTAGTAACTTACGCGGTATCCCCAGCCAGGCGATAACGGACTCCCAGGTCCCACTCTCTCTCTGTACCCAGTGCTTCCTTCTTAGGCATACGTGGTTCAGAGTGATCAACGGGGAAGTCAAGCGAGGATGCAGGCAGGGCCAAAGGCACTGGGGCAGGGAGGACTCACCATTGAGCAGCCAGGTGATTCGGGGCACTGGGGTTCCCTTCACCAAGCATTGCAGCACGAAGTCCTGGCCCTCAATGATAGTGCAGTCCTTCAGGACACTGGTGAATGAGGGGGCCACCTCCCTCATGGCCAGCCCTGCAAGGGCAAAGAACAGACAGCCCATCTCAGATCACAGGTGGCCCATGCTGGTGACTGACAGCCATCATCCCAAGGCTTGCAGGCAGACGCCTCATGGCCCTGGGCACCCAGGGCTTCCTTGGAGGCCTGGCTTTGCCTTATCTATCTTCATACTTGGAAGCGGGCGCAATTCCAGTGTAGAGACTTGGAACCTGAGGCAGAATAACAGGCAGGGGCTTTTTCACAGTCACACGACACCCCAGGCCTGGGAGCGCTCAGGGCCTGGGCCTGCCTCCTCTCCCTGGGACTCAGGCACCTCCTGTCCTGTCTTGACTTTGCTCTCCTGGAGTATCGCCGGAGCGCCTTCTTCCCGCCTTTCTTGGTCCTACTCTACTTTCTAGTGTCTTTTATCTTCTTTATCGGTGATTGCACAGTCTTGTGAATATCGTTTTACATGGGGAGGCCACATGCCCACTGGTGAGAACGTTTCAATTTTCAATTATTATAATTATTTTTTCCAATTCCAGGACTGAATCAAATAACAAAGACTCACGTGTGTTCTAGTTTTCCAACCTAAGCCAACGGTTCAGGACGGCTATGGATCTGGGACTGTGCATTACTAAATTCCCTCATGATGCTGACGCACATTCTAATTGAGAGCCACCCAGTTGAAATTTCTATTGGGTTGTCAGAAAAGTCATGACATATTTTCCTATGCTTTTCAATGCAAAAAATGCGTCATGACTTTCCCAACAACCCAATAGAAGCCTTCTATTTTGGTGAACTGNTTGGGCCAAAAGCGGTAGAGAGAGCAAGGAGGAAGAGTTTCTGAGAAAGGAAGGAGATGTGGAAGAGAAAAATCACAGAAGAAAAGAGGGTAAGAAAGGAGGAGGGGAGAGTGAAGGTCGTTTCCCTCCCTCCTTGAGCCCCCAAGTCCCACCTTGCTCAAGGTTCCTGCTCCACACACTTTGGCTTTCCCAGGCTGGACTTGGTGGAACTAAGGGGAATATCGGGAAGAGATACATTCAAAGATACTTCAAAGGAAGAACTGACAGGTTCTGATGCCTACAGCAAGGAAGAGGCAGGGGTCAAACGTGATGCTGGAATGTCCAGTCTGGGAGAGAAGAAAAAGGAGGTTCCTGGGGTACAAAGAGTTAAGTTGAGGAAATACCTCATTTGAAGGACAGAGTAGAGAGTGGATGATAAGTCAAATTTTAGGCAGGCTACATTTGAGGTGACAGCAAGACATTAGCAATGACCACTCTTCCCATTGACATTTAGAGATAAAAAAGGGGAGTCTGAGCAAGAAGAAAGGACAGAAGACACAGGTGTGGGGCAGAGGGACGAGGCACAGTGAAGCATCTTCCTCCGTGGTCATGTCTGTGCTACCCGCCCATTTCCTTCATTCTGGTTCAAGGCCCTCTCTGGGGAATGCATGGGTATATAGATGTGACACGGGTAACACAGAGGCGTGTAAGGAACAAGCTCCTTCTAGGAGTGTACGGACACCAGGAAGGGATCGTATGCACCAGCCCTCCCTACCAGCCAATACCTTGGATGGAAAGCTCGGCTGACATGGAGGCCTTCCCGGAACCGTTCACCACCATGCATGTGTACACTCCCAAGTCATCCTGGCTGACCTCATGGATTTCCAAAACTTGCATTCCATTTTTCTCAGACATAGACACACGGGCACTTGGCTGCAGAGGAACATCTCCCTGTGGATGGCAATAAGGTAGCTTGGTTAAAAATAAAACAAAAAAACAAACAAACAACTGCTCACCTGCTGGCACTGTCCTCCTACCTCCTGCCAATCCTGGTGAGACAGACAGCAGGCATGAGTGGCAAGCTCCCTGTTCTGGGTTCTGCCAACATGCTTAGAGAGCAGTCTTTGTTTTTTTAAAGATTTTTTTTATTGGGGAATTGGGGGATGGCAACAGCGCTGGGGAATTGGTGGAAGGGAAACAGACAAGTTGCTGTTGTTTTGTTCTTTAGTCTAGTTGTGGAGGACGTTGCTTCACTGGCCCAAGTTGGCACCATCATTGCGCTCTTCCTGGGCAAGGCAGATCAGTCGCCAGCTTCTGGATGGCCGCTCACTGCGGCCACAGCCGCTCACGCTGGCTGCTGGCTACACATGGTAGCCCATGGCAGCCCACTGCCACAGGGGCTGCAGCCTACGCCGTCGCCAGCGACTCATGGCAGCCCAGCTCCAGGTTGAGCTGTTGTTCAGCATCTTAGCTGTAGAGGGCAGTGGCACTATTATATCAGTTTCAGGTGTACAACATAGTGATTAGACATCTATATACCATACGAAGTTATCGTCCGGTAGGTCTAGTACCCATCTGACACCATCCATAGTCATTACAGTATTATTGACTATATTCCCTATGCTGCACAACAGCCGTCTTTGGGCGGCCCAATAGCCCTGACTTGGGTCTATGTATGCATTGTGATGTCTGGTCTAGCTTAGAGCAGACATATGAAACCTGTTTCAAAGTAACCCTGGTTTGGGGTGAGAAATCATATATTCCTCACTTTAATTCTCCTTTGCCTCCTTTTTCCTTTTATTATTTTCCCAGCATTAGTTTAGGAGAATTAAGAAATAGGTAAAACGTGTCCCATCATTCATTTTAATCTAGGAGTTCCATCTGTGGAAAACCTGCTCTCCTTGACCTTGACCCCAGGTGTTCACCAAGTGCCCTGTTTAACATCTACCCCTTCTCCCACTCCACTGCTGCCTCCACTTCCCCCTCCACCACCTCCTCCACAAACTCTGTCTTCACATTGCTCAGCCTGAAAGGATTTATAAAGCACTTCCACATGGAACCTCCCAACAGTATTTTGAGATAGCTGGGATTATCTCCACCTCATAAATAAGGAAACCATGGTTCCAAGAGATCAAATGACTTGCCCAGTATCACATGCTTTGTGAGCCAGGGAGCCGTGGCTTGAAATCTAGTCCCATGACTTCAAATTCCACCTTTTGAAATGGTCAGATCTGTCTTGACTGAGACGTTTTATGCTGTTTTATGAGTGTGTGGATTATAGGACATTGTAGGCTGAGTAACAGAGGGAGCGTGAGCAAAGAGGAAAGAACAAGCATGGCTATCAAATATACAAGAACCCTCACATAGAGGATGCTTGGGAACCTCCTATGGATGAATTAGAAGGGACTGATTGGAAAGACAGGCTCCCACGAGTCAAAGGATCTAACTCTGAACGTTCAGGGTCCCCAGAGTCCAGGCAGACAAAACCACACCTTGAGCCAGGTGACCTGTGGTTGGGGTCGGCCAGTGATCTTGCAGGAAAATCGTCCCATCTGTCCTTCTTTGACCACCGCTCGGCCTAGCTTGGTAGCGAACTTTGGAGGGCACTCTCCCCAGATGCTAGGACGGGTCTCCACTGTGGAGGATGCGAATCTGTCCCTGGAAGAAAATCAGCAGAGAATCCAGCAGTAACTCAGATCCTCACCTCTCTGTCCCCACCCAAGTCACTTAAGTTGGGATCAAAACCCAGCAAAGGGTAGCCTTCCCACCTCTTTACCTTAAGCACACTTCTGATGTGCCCTCTGGAAAAATCTGAAGCACCCAAACTTATTTCCTCTACCTCCTGGGCATGCAGCTAGACTTCACTTACTAGCCTCTCTTGAAGTAAGGTATACCTGAGCTCTGGCCGAAAGCCTGGGTTTTGGCCAATAGACTGTGAGCAGAAGTGCTGTATGCTATTTCTAGGCTGGACCCATAAAACCTGTGAGATTCTCCATGCTCTCTTGCCCACTCTCCTGGCTAGATGCAGCGGGTCCAGCAGAGGCTCCAAGGCCTGGGAGATGAAGGAACCACAAAGTGTTAAGAGCCTGGGTCCCTGAAAAATAATGGGAAGGTTCTCCACTTGTTCAAGAATATCTGAATTGGGTCTGCTTGAGTAAGAAATAAACATTCCCTGTGTTAAGTCATTGGGATTAGGGGGCTTGTTTGTTACAGCAGCTACAGTTAATTATCCTTACAATACAGGCTCACTTTCCAAAAGAAGTGTCACCTATTGATTGCCTCTTTTAAGTCTGCTCTAAGTATTTTGACTATTGCCTTGATTGTTAGACATCCCTGCAGACTATGACCACATAGCCCCCTTCCCCTGCATTCAGCAGCTAGGCCAGTCAAGGGGCTATCCACAGAGACCGCCAGATCAGGAGGCACTGTGTGAATGGCACATTACATCCCAATAGGCTCCTGCCTTAGTAATCACAACCCAGGATGCCCAAGAAGACGTGCTCCCTAGACCTGTTCTGTCAAGTCAGCAGGAAAAGCCAAAACAGCCCTTAACCTGGCTTGAACATCATAGAACTTACCCCAAGGTTTTGGAAACAAAAGGCTGACCATGCTTCTTCATGAAGCCCCCTGCAAGTAGGAAACAAAAAGAAAGAGGCTTGAAGAGTCGAGTCTGAGCCACCAACATGGAGCAACGAAAGTCAGAGGAAGTCGACAAGGGTGAGTGTGAAAATGATGGAAACAGTTCACCCTGACTGAGCCCGTATGGGTCAGCCATTGTGGTGGGCACTTTACATACATCATCGCACGATTTCCTGTAATGATTTCAGAAGGCTGGTACAATATTATCCGTCTACTCTTTAAGTAGATGAGAAAAATGAGATCCAGGGAAATTAAGTCACCCACTCAAGTCACAGAGCCAGTAACAGTGCAGGAATGCATCCAGATGTGCCTATTCTAGAACACATCACCGTTCCACTGAGGTATTATACGCCACTGGAGCGTCTACTTTGGGGATTATCTTCGGCAATCCAGGACTTCTCTAGAAAATGACCCAGTTGAAGGGAGACGGGGAGAGGTACGTGCATCTCTCTTCCCACGTCTATTCATGTTAGACACCATCATCACTCCATCTTTCTATTTCAGGCCCAGCCAACAGCAATACCTGTGCTGCTGGAATGCAGCAGATCACCGGGGAGAAGCTACTGTGGAGCCAGCACGTCACCTGAACCTGTACCAGCAGCACACTGGGCACTGCCAGTCCTGGGTGAGGCACTGCTGCGCTGGACAGGAAGCAGTTAAACAGCAAACCCAGCAAGGCAGCTGGGGTCAGCTCCTTTTATATCCAGCTGCTGCTGCTGGGGAGGGACAAGTCATCATGTGGCCAGGAAGGGACTCTAAAATGGGGAGGTATTTTTGAGGAACAGGGAGGGGAAGAGGGGGGCATTTTGAGATGATCAGCCTGGAAGTTGTTCTCTTTGCCACAAGCCAGGAATGTTTATAAAACCCCACCGGAGACACACATGGAAAGGGCAGATTCCATTTCCTGATATCAGCAGGCAGCTGCTGTGGGGGACTGAAGGGTGTTTACTGGAAAAGGGTGAATTCCCTTAAATTCTGGCACTGATCACATCTGTGTGAATGCACAGGAATGAAGGCTGAAGCTCATGGCTGAGTATTTCCCTCCGCCATATCCGGTTTAAGGTTTTACCAGGACCTTAGTGAAAAAGGATTAATAACCAACATGAGCATCACATTTAAGTGTGATTCCCTATGGACTGGCAATTATTGTCCATGCATTCTGCTTAATACAACTGCTTAGGGAGCTGTGTATACTTTTCATTCCATGATGTGGGTTTGGTCCTTGTCATTCAATTCTCTGTTCCAGGTTAAAAGAACTTCTAAGCTGACAGGAAGAGGCCTGCTCTGCGAGGACCCACCTGACTGCTGCAGTTACGATGCTGGGGCCCCTCAGACACTGCTGGAGGAACTGTGAGCCCGTCAGTCTTTTAAAAAGGATTTGAGCAAATGAGAATCCTAAGCTCTAAAAATGCTCTGCTCTTAGACCAGCCCCTTCTGCCCCCAGTCAAAGGAAATGATGCTAAAAGTAGAGAAGCAAGTTTATAAAGCTGTTCACTTTGGTCTTGTCTGTAACAGTAAAAATTGGAAACAGTGTAAATGTCACAAGGTAGGAAGACAATAAGCAGGTAAGTGAAATGTACAATTAGCATCTTAATCTGCCATTAAATTATGTTTAAGAATATATGAAGCGTAGAAATATGTTAAAATAGTCTATCATTCGCTCCTTGGTACACTCCAGTTGAGCTGTGGTCCTCCCCACTCCATGGGCTCCACCTTGCCAAAGCACTCCAGCTAAGCCTCTTCCCCATCTCACTCAGATGCTCTGTGGCACTTGACATGACGGGCTAATCCCCTTCAAAGCACTTTCTCCTCCAGACTCCACTGTATTTACTAGGCTGCCCTTTCTTCCTCAGCCTCCTTCTCTGCTCAACTTTTGCACATGGGAGTGACCAAGGCTGCGTCCTGGGTCCTCTCCACAGCACTGTCGGCTCTCCTCCAGGAGGTCTCAGCTCCATAGCTTTAAGTATCATCTATAAGCTGATGACTCTGGAATCATATCCCCACCAGAACGCCTTATTCATTCATCAGAGATATCCACAACAGTGACCAGTCATTGTAGGTATTCAAATATTTGTTAAGTAAATGAATTTTATGGAAAAAGAGCAGCATATAAAATTTCTTATTCAATATGATCATAATCAGGTAAAAATAAAACATTCAAACATAGGAAAATGGCCAAAAGAAAATAAATCAAAATGTTGTTTTGGGGTGGTGGGACTATGAGTAATTTTATTCAGCTGTGTTTTTTAAAAACCTATAAATATAGCAGTAAAGAAAAACAAAACATGATCTTGTTACCAAAAAAGCAAAAAGTGTTGGGACGGGGTGGCTGGAGAAAGAAAATTTCAAAATGAAAAAGATTCTGGCATCCAAACAGAAGGGCCTCTTACACACGCTCCATCCCTCAGCATTAGCTATATACCCAGTCACTAAGACTCCTGCCTACAAATGTCTATATACCATTCATTGCACTTATCATGCTACTGTAACACTCACTTCATTTTGGAGTAAAGATTTGATAAAAATTGGACTGATCAACTGATGAATGCGTAAACAAAATGTGGTCTATCCATACAATGAAATATTATTTAGCCATTTAAAAGAATAAAGAAATGATACATGCTACAACATGAAAAAGTTTGCTAAGTGAGGAAAGCCAGACACCAAAAATGTATCATTCCATTTATATGAAATGTTCAGAAGAGGCTAATCCATAGAACACAGAAAGCAGATTAGTGGTTGTCACGGGCCGAGGGCAGGGGGATGGGGAGTGACTACTCAGTGGGTGTGGGGTTTCTGTTTGGGGTGATCAAAAGTTCTGGAACTAGACAGTGGTGATGGTGCACGACATTGTGAATGTGCTTAATACCACTGAATTGCATATTTTCAAATGGTTAAAATGGTAAATTTTATGTTATGTATATTTTACAATAAAAAATATTAGACTAAGCATCTTTAAAACCCCTGGGAGCTAAATATCTTAATCCAAAGGCTATAATTCCTTTATGTCTTAAAAGATAAAATAAAGTAATAATATGGCATTTCATCAAAGAATAGCTGTTCGTAGGTACTTCTATATCAGAGTAAGAGCAGTTCATGGTATGATCCAAAGTTAACACATAAAGCAGTCAGCTAAAAATGGAATTGAGGAATGCTTATTTTAGTGTGAGTGAACACCAGCGAGCACATCAAAACAACAAAAAAAATTTGGGCTAAAACAACTAAAAGGGTCTATTTATAGGCAGACAATCTGAAGTTCTAAATTGTCAGATAAGGAAAAATTAATTTTGTGAAAGTATGAAAATCTGGCAGAACAACAAGGCTATGCAGAAAAATAAGTGGAAAGGGGTTAAGGTAGAAATGCCAAAAATAGAAAAGTTAAGAGAATCGGTGAAGGCAGGGTCGATTAGTGAGGGAAAAAAGGCCAACGCACTGAAGTATTTAAACACTAATCTTAGATTATTTTCAAGGACAAGTAAAAGAGAATGCTGTCAGGTTTTAGTAGTGAAAAGTTTAATCGTGGGGGGACCTAGCACTTTTTGTCAAAGGATATAGAAAGCCAGAGTTGAGACAGTGAATGCTGCCGAAAAGGGGAATGAGATCAAGATGGTAAGGAGAAGAAATGCTTCGAAAAATGTGTGATATAATTCATCATCCAAATGGGAACTCTCGACCCTGAAAGGGACAGAACTAGTAATTCTGCCAGGACAACAGAATTAAACCAAGACTGTTCCAGGCAAACCAGAGGGCAGTCACCCTACCTGTAGTCAACTTCGAAGTGGATTTTAAGGATTACTTAAAATAGTGGTTCTTCACTTAATCAGAACAAATGCCCACTTTTTAGAATAGATATTGAGCAATAACCCCTGAATTGGAGTTCGCTGCTAACAACATATATATATGGCTTCAAAAAAATAAATAAATGCAAAGGCCCTAACTAAAATACTAAGGAACATTATAATAATATTTATATATTTCAATATGTAAATGTTGAAACATGACTATTTCAATATGTAAATGTTGTTCAGGCACATCAGAAGACATAATGAAATGGTCAAATGTTTGCACTGATTCATATGCATGTTTGGATTTAAAAGTGAATGATCAAGAAATATACTGTACAGGTAGTGCAGAGAAATGAAAGAGAACAAGTATACAGGTAGACACCTAAAAAACTGAGAAAAATAAAAAGTAGTGTTAGCAATATTATATGTCAATTATATCTCAATAAAGAGAGAAAAATGAAGAAAAATAAATAGAGTAAAAAAGAAAGTAGCTTTAGGATAAATAACAGAGCAGGCATGTTATATGAAAAAGAGAGAATGAAATAACCTTAAAGAAGATAACTTAGCAAGACAAGTTACAGACCACTGAAGTAGCGAAAATGAAAGAACAAAAAAAAGACTGCAAGTGTGGTGTCAAAGTAATTCTCTATTTTATGACATGGGATCTTTGAGACCTCCTTTGTACTAAAATGCTGATTCAGTTCCTATTATTCATAAGGCATTGGCCAGAGCTTCAACAAGTAGACTGATGTGCATAATAAAAATAATAAAAATGATGTGCATAATAATAATAAAAATGAGCCTTAAGAGACAGGCCAAGTGCTTCAAAGCAGGGAGAGGGGACATCTCATTGCTGGGCCTGTTAAAGATCCTGAGTTTCAATTTAAAGGCAACAGATCACGGGAGGATTTGCAGGGAGGGAGTAATAAAATCCCATCTGATTTTTTAAAAAAGATATTTTAAACAGCAATGTGGAGATCAGAGTGGGTTACAAGAGGAACTGAGGAGTCCAGTTGGGAATTTGTGCAACAGGACAGAGATAGTGGCAGCCAGGACCAGGATGGTGGCAGTGAGGACAAATGAGAACTGCATGGGACACGCCACAGGATTTGGTGACTGATTGGAAAAGAAAAGGGAGTACTTGAGAATGACTGAGGTCGCCTGGCTGTCCTCCTTCCCAAGGAGATGTGGGCTGTCACCTGT